ACATCGCGCCGACCGCGGGCGAGCTAGAGTGGTTTATTTTATAAGACCAGATTGCTGGCCTCGCTCCGCCGGAATAGAATAATGAACGTTTCTCTCCATCCTTCGTAGTACAACCTCCTCCCTTCTCCTCCTACTCCGTCCAAGCCGCGGAATCCCTCCTCCCCCCCCCTCCCCGCTCTCTTCAGTCTTCCTCACGAAAGTCGAGTGTCGTTCAAGAACGCTCCTCGTATTGGATCACGCCGTGATGATCACGGCTCCCTTTCTCGTCGGGCGAGATTAAAACACAATTTTTTTTTTTTTTTCCATCAAGCGTAACGCGCGGCAGACGTGAGTACATTCGTGAGTTCCACGCGATTCGGTGGCCTTGTTATTTTCGCAATACAGATTTCTTTTATCTCCAGCCCAAATCGCCCTCGCGATTTTTTGTAGATCTCTGTGTCTGGAGCGTACTCGGTCGGAAAACTAATTCAGAACGGGTACCAGACCGTTTTACGACTGGTTTCTTACTCGCGACCGCCGTATCTTATTGATCGTGCGTTCATCGCGCGATCAAATTAACGATAATGCCCGTTAAAAGCGAGTTACACAGTTAATCCTTGGCGCACGGAGCGTACCGCTAAAGCGCTTGGTAATCGCAACGAAGAAAGAGAGAGAGAGAAAGAGAGACGGTACCCAATTACATCCGACGAGGGGAATTTCAAATAAGAACTTACCGGTCATGGAGCGATGACTCTCTTTTGGCGCCGTCCATCGTCCCGTCGTAAGATCGCCGAAGCGCGAGAGCTCTCATATCAGGACATGACGTGTATTTTACTTTCTTACTCTGTACCAACTTCGTGTAGAAATCCTGAAAGCAAAAAGCCTGCGGTTAAAGCATACAGATTATTATTATTATTATTGATATATTTAATCACTAACGCTTCAATTAATTAAATCCTACCGATTGATCGTCGCGATACGAGGAGTATAAGAGAGATTAACGCATTGTGTTTTATTATTAATGATACATGCAGCATTGAACTCTTGATGTCCGATAGAAGAACACGATGGAAATGTAAAACAGATGATTGCGCGTACCATGTGCGTCCGTCCGACTACGTCACGCATATAAATATTGCTTTTTGACGAGTTAATATTTTCTCATCCGACTTTTCGACGCGCACCGTGACACTGCGATATTTGCGATCGCTACTGATGTACTGGCGTTGCTACGAAATTTATTAATAACCGCCAGACACAGGCGCGTACGTATTTATATATTTACGAAGGCAGGCACTGCCTCCGAAATGGATTCCGAGAAGAAAAACTCTGCCTACGCGCGGCTTCACGCCGATTAAACAAAACGCGCGGGATGCGCTTGCGCATTACAAAGTTTTTGCAATAAAACGCGGATATGGAGAATGTTAGAGTGGCGTGTGCAATAAGTATAAATCATGCTGACGGCTCGTGTCAAAACCGTGGGCCATCGATGCTTGTCGTTATACGAGGCACGGTATTGCGAAAACTCTCTCTATTAACGAGAATGAAGCGATGATCGAGCCCGACGTCTACGCGGAATCACGATTCCGAGATGATAAATCGCGCACGCGAGTCCATTAAGACTGTCCTCCTTAGGAGCTTCTGAGACTTCACGCGGATCGCGCAGAGATTCCGATAGACTTCTGTTTTTCTCCGCATTACGCGTTTAAAAAATAAATGCGCCTATCACCCGCCTATGTCCCAAGCGTATAAAAGCAGGATTTCTCAAGGCTGAGCGAAATTTTCTCCGCAACGAATCCGAACGCGTCCGGACTTGAAATTAGCATCGAAATATCCGCCTAGCCGCCGAACCGAAGACGATATTATTCCGAGTGCGTCCGTTCCGGTCGAAGTTGGGCGACTGCGAAATCGAATTGTCAGGAGTGGCGCGTAAATTCGTCACATTCGCTCGCGGTTACGCGCTTAAACCGACCGCTAATCTTTCTAAAGCCGCCGCCGTCGCCGCAGCCGCCTCTCGCAATCGCCATCGGCCGCGAGATCGTCCCGGCCGATGTTTGCATACATTTCCACCTTCAGCAATCGCGTCTAACATTTCACACTTTCAACCCACGCTCGCTTCCAGCCATTCGACGTTTTTGGTGACACGCAGCGGATATCTAACGGAGCCATTTATTCTAAACTGGCCGACGTTGCGATCCCGAGAATATTTCACACTTTGAGTATCAAGCTTGACTTAATTACGAGGAAACGCGAGGAAATTTAAAATTTTCGCATTTATTGCGCATGAATTGCTAATACAACATAGCAATTGCGAGTCATTTCAATGCTGATGGAAATTG